AAGAGCACGCCACACACATTACAGGGAAATGCCTAATCCTTTTAAATTGTAGGCACATGTGACAGATGGGATTGAAGAAGGTGTAAAAATGTATATGTGACATGGCTAAGAACAAATTCCACAAGTGTCAATGCTCTGCAATGTCAAGAAGGGCCAGAGGGGGATCAATGAAATTTAAAGTTTGTAGACAGTGCAAGGGAATCAGAACAGGAAATTCTGTCATTGCTGTAAGCAGTTAAGCTCAATGTTTTGCAAAGAACATTAATTTAATTTACACTTATAAATTAAATCCTCATGTCCGGACTGCTAATAATCCATTGTTAAATCTCCAATTATTTCCCTTTTTGTATGTCTCCTTTTTTATTGACTACAGTAATATCTTTTGAACACCGAATGTCAAACTGTGTTAGGCGCTTCAGTCCTCACCCGTCCTGGGACTTTTTTTACAGATAAGGTCTCCAAAGGTCAGAGAGTTATATAACTTGCTCAAGGTCACAGAGCTAGTAAGAGACTAAAATCACATCCACCAGACTCCAAAACTTGTGTCTTCCCATTTCGTCCTCTGTCTCGCAAATTAATAGTAGGTATAAAGACCACAAGTGCTGAAGACCCAGACAGTCAAGCTATCTAGGTACCAATCCAGCTGCATTCCTTATCTATGTGACCTTGGACAAATTAGTTAATCTCAAGGAGTCTCAGTTTTCTCATCTCAAGAGGGCAAGAATAGTTAGTACCTCCCTTACAGGGTTATTAGGAGTAACATAATCCATGTAGATAATCCATGTCAATAAGCTAGCATTATAAGCTCTCAAATTTTGTTTTTATTGACATTTATACCACCACCATCTCAGGTCTGCTCTTTGCCACATACTGCACTGAGCATTTTATGTGGATTATCTTTTCAGTAGTGCTGCAAGGCAGATATTAGATCCCCACTTGCACAAGGGAAACAGACTCAGTAGGGTTAACTTTGAGTTAATCTACTAGCTATGTAGCCTGTAGGTGGCAAAGTCAGGATTTGAACCCTAGTCTGCCTAGCTCCAAAGCCAGTTTGATTTGTACCCATATGATGATCATAAATTCCTTTTCTGTATTTGATGCGTTGATATGGCAATGATGTCAACATCAGTGATGGTGAGGACCAGTGTAGCTGTAGGTGTTGCTGCCCACTGAATGAGCAGCAGAACCAGAATCAGCCCAGGTCTGTCTGACTACAGAGGCCAAACGACCCCTAACCACTGTTACTCGCAGCTTGCGGGGAAACAGTAGCTTGGTATTTATGGATCTGCTAATTCCACTTACAGGAAGCTTGAAATTGGGAATACTTGGAAGAGTTACCCAGAGTTATATTTTTGTTTTACAATTTTATTCCCCAAAAGCTTCCAGAAGGCTTACGGTCTTCCTTACTTTTATCTCTAAGACATTCCTGACTAAATAGGAATTAGTTTGTTAGTTTGGACAGTATTAACTGGGCACTTGGGGCAGAAAACAAATCTACCCTTTTGTGTTAATTTGGAAAGTCTCTGTGAAATGAGTGGATTGTTCCAGCCACACAGTAGAGCTCCATAAATCCATGGCTTGTAGGTTATATGAGCTCCTGCTTCCGTCATTCAACAGGGTCATTTGCACAGTGATTCTTCTCTACAGACTGAAGAAAACTTCATTTGATTCTCTTGAAATCATCTCTTTTAAAATGAAATAGGATTGGAATAACCAAAATTGTTGTGAATAATTCAGATTCTCATTAGAATTTCAACTCGAGCTTCTAGCATGGAGGCAAACCCGTGGCCAGTCAACAGGCTTTAAACGATTTGCATGTGTTCAAGTGTCAGAGTTAAATAAACAACAATCACTTGGGGAACGATTTTCCAGAGTCATTAATGAAAGTTTGTGTCGTCTGCTCTGACTTGATCTAATTTGCAGAGGCACCCTGTACCTTGGAAGAACGTGTCGCGGTAATTATGACAATCCCGTGTCTGGCACTGGACATTTTGCAGCATGCCTCCTTGCATGTTATCTAATTTGATCCTGAGAATAGCCCTATCAGCGGTCTTCAGGAGCCTGGGCCTGGCTCACAATGGCTCTTGCCCATGGCAAAAATCTTCTCGCAGAGCTGATTCTCTTATGCTTGGATAACTTAATTATTTTAGAGGAAACAGCTGATGAGCAGGGTGAACTCTCTCATTTGTTCCCATGTCTTTTCCTGCTCTGCTGTATATAAATATTGTCTTGGAAGCAATTTTTCACGCATCTGTCTAAAGCCATGGTCCTTCCTCACAAGTTCCTCTTCTTTGTTTCTCCAACATTTGCTACAGTTCTCAGGAAGTAGTAAAAACTCGCATTTCTGTTGACAGTTGAAATTGAAGTATACATTATTTTTGCTCCCATTGTAATTGGGTGAGGAACTCATTTTCGGTAACTTGCTAGAAAAAAAGAGACAAAATGTGGAGGCCAGAGGTGAAGTGGGATGTGAGGAAAAATATTAAAACCAGGCCTATCACTAATTCTGAACTCATTTTCAAATGCTGTTAGCTAGAGATTGCCGAAGTTGGTGTAACTGAGGCCAGAGGCAGAAAGACGCTGGAAGACACCGTTAGGTTGAAACCCATTCTTGTATGTTTGGGACACCAGCTTTTGTAGTGAAGATTGCCTGGAGATTAGCCGAATGAATGGCTGCTGCAGCCCTGGGGCTTCCCTCCTGGTCACTCTCCTGCTTAGCTGTGTGGCAGGGCAGGCAATCTCTCATTGTGAGAGGGTCATCCAAATTGCTTTGCTGTTGACCTACAGTTTAGGGATGCATCTTCGGATGCATCTGCCTGGCACAGTGCCTGGCAGGTACAAAACTCATACATAGGAGCTATTTTTAAATGTCAGTGATAATGGTACACAGTCAGGTTGTCACCTGGGGATGGCCACATAAAGAGTGGGGAGAGAGCTTCTTAGAGGTTGCAGCCCTTGAGCTTTCCCTTCTGTTGTAGAGGCTCAGTAAGAGACTGGAGATGTTTATAGCACTGGTAAACTTGTTTTTTGGGGTTCCAGCTGCTTGAGAAGTTAGGAGTTTTTTTCTTGCTTTTACTTTGTTTCCTTCTCTTCTTATTCCCTTGCCCCAGTTGAACTCAGCTACGTGTAGTGATTCAGTTTATCTTGTTGAAAATTTTCAGTCCCCTAGGGAAAATATGATAATGCTGTTTTCAGACAGCTGTGTTTAGGAGTGAGACTGATTTAACCAGCTGGCTGGCATCATTGGAGCCCGAGGACCTGCCAACCCACGGAGAGCAGCTGTTTGTGCTGAAATTCTTATGATTCTTATGATTTTGCTTCCTACATATCAGCTTTTGAGTTCTGTTTTTAAATGCACGCACAAAAGGAGAGAGGACCATGAGAAAGACTCATGTGTCTAGGGCCACCCATGGGTGAAGGATAGCCCTAGATACATCAGAGACTATCATTTAGGAAGGAGAAAACTCAGGAGGAGACCAACTTCAAAGAATAAGAGATGGTAATGAACAGATCCACAAATTTGGATTTTTCAATTTATAGTGGGGGTATTATGCAGCCATTAAGAATCATGTCTGAAGATTTTTTTAATGAACGAGGAGATACTGTATAATGTTAGATGAAATGTATATAATACAGATGGCATAAAGAATATAATTTCAATGATGAAAAGTGTGTGTTAATATTAACTGGGATCATTCATATGAAGCATTTAACTTAGTGCCTAGTGTGGCAAGGACTTAGTAAATCAAAGCCACAGGAGTGCAGACTCTGTCCACAGGGAATGTGTTTGCCTCCTTCACTGTTGTACCCAGAGTGCCTCCTATAAAGGAGATGCGTAAAAGGTGTGTGCTGGTTGAATGAATGAGCATGAATATTATTGTATGTATTTAAAAATGAACTGTTATCATCTGTAATGGTATCTACAGTTGTGGCTACTGAACCTCTCTGAGCCTTAGTTCTTCATTATAAAATGCTGAGGACATTACCTGTTGCTCAGGATTGCTGAGAACTGAGTGAGCTACATGAAAAGCACACAGTATGATGACTGGTACCTAAGGGAGCCTGCAATAAGTGGCGGCTACTGTAATCATGGTAAGCACCGTACAAGTGTTAGCTGTTATAATTAGTAAAGTCCACTATACTTTTATCGGTAGAAAAAAAAAGATGAGAGTTGTCATGATTTTTGTCTATCATTTACTTCTCATTTTTTAGCATGAACTTTTAGAAGGATGATAAAAGGCCCTCCAAAAAATAAAAATAAAAGCTTAAAAACAAATAAAACCTAAATGGTAACAGTGGTTCTAAGTGGTAAAATCGAGAGAATTTTTTGTTTTCTTCTTGAGACTTTTCTGCATTTTTCAAATTGTCCACAGTATGTGTGTGTGTATGTGTGTGTGACTTATCGAGATAAACGAGGAAAAGCTCAGCATCACGGATAACACAGAGCTGCTGATCTAAAAAAGGATGCTGCAGCCGAGGACAATTGGTGAGGCTTGGGCAATGGTGCCCCGCCCTAGGGTCCTTTATGAAACATTATTTAAATACATATTTCACAGTTTAAGAAAGTTCCGAAGTAGTTCTTAAGAACTTAGAAACAGAACCAATGAAGAAAGATAAAGAGATTTTTGATTCGTTGGTTCTGGACAAAGGTAGTCAAAAAACTTCAAGTGCTATTAACAGACAGTGGCTTCTATTGAGCACAGCTGCTTTCTATTTCCCTGGAGCGAACGATGAAAAGACGCTCAGTGGAAATTGTAGTCGAAGAGGTTAGAAATGGAAGTGGGTGGTTATCCAACTCTAGGATAAGCTTCCAAAGGAGAATGTTTAATGCCATTTCCTAGAAATGTTTAAAATGAAATCTTGAGCAACTGCCAGTGGTCTTCTTGGATCTTTTCTTGCTAATTCCAAGACACTGCCAAGCTTTCCGTTGTACTGCTTCAGGCCTGTTCTCTTCCCCGTTCACAGATGCGTGTAACCTTGTTGTGAAACTTTGTTTGCAGATATTTAACACTGTGCCCGATATGCCTCTCACCAATGCCCAGCTGCACCTGTCTCGGAAGAAGAGCAGCGACTCCAAGCCCCCGTCCTGCAGCGAGAGGCCCCTCACGCTCTTCCATACCGTGCAATCAACGGAGAAACGTGAGTCTCTGCTGCATGGGGCCAGTGTGGCATTCAGGGACATTCCATACTACCTGCAGCTGCTCAGAGTGGACACTTTCAGCTTTTCTCTGTGTACTGCTGGCTTTTTGTGTCCTTGAAGACTGTATCATTGTGCCCTCCCAAGTGCCTTTGCTGAGCAGCCCTGATAGGACGGGAAGCAATATTACTGAGAATGAAAAGGAAGGGCTGCCATTGAGGATTCTCTTTCCAGATCTCCTGTGGACAAACAGCTGAGTCTCTTTTCCTCCTGCTGCACAATAAGAACTGAGCTCAGGCACTACTTCTTCAGCTTCTCTTTTGTTAGCCATTCCCATAGAGACAGTGTCCTCTCCTTTTCTCAGCTGTAATGAAATACCCATTAGTGTGAGTCACATGCCCCAATAGAATGTGACTCTGTGAGGGTGGGACCTGGCTCGGCCTGATGTTCTTCTCCACCTCTCATGGTGCCTGGCGTGGAGTCAGCACCTAAAAATATTTGAAATTCATTAGTAAATTAATTAGGGAGCAACGCCCTACTTGTTCCAAATACCAGAGTGTTATTGCCACGATTATATCACATCTGTTTTTCATCTCAGGATTTCTGAGTTCTTTGCAATGATCAGGTACTGAGCCCTAAAATACCTGAAATACAAAATTTCAGCCTTTGCTCTAAGAGAGCCTCCGTTTGCTCATCTGTAAAATAGGGATAAGAGGACCCACTCATAGGAAAGTTGTGAGAATTAAATGAAATTGTGCGTTTCAGCATCTGAGACGTGGCAAGGGCCAGTTACTGAGAGCCGCTACTACTATTATTGGTTACTGTTTAATCACACACAGAGAACGAAGGCTGGTTCATTCATGCAGCTGATGTTTACACGACACCTACCAGGGACCGGGAATATAAACATGAGACCTTGGCTTTAAGGAATTCAACAGTGAGTAAGGAAACAAGTGACTACAAATGTAAATAGCATCACAGCTGCTTCCTTAGAGATACATATATTGAGAGAGGCAGTAGAACACAGTGGTTAAACACACTCTGGCACCAGGTCGTCTGGGTGTGATTCTGCCTCTGCTGCTCACCAGTTATGTGTGGCTTGGGAAGTTATCTAATAGCTCAGGGCCCTATTCTCCTCTTCTGTAAAGTATGGTTGATACTTTCTATTTCATGGGGTTGTTCTGAGGATTAAAGCCTTTCATACGTTGCCGGGTGCAGAGTCAGTGTTCAGGAAACGCTGGTTGTTGATGGTGATGGTATTATCATCATCATCATCGTCATTGTTATTACTTGTTTCTGTGAGGTAGAGTAAAGGGACAGAGGCAGGACGGTGAACTACTTTGCTTTGAAGAAGAGAGGCTTCATGTCTGGATTAGTATCTTTCTTTTTGTCACAAGAAAAAAGGTGGTTATTTTAATCCCCCTGTATTTCTAAAGTAATGGCCTTCCTTACCATAACGCCTAGAAGCAAACCTTCCCCATCCCAAAAACCTGCCTGCACTTAAGGATATTGTAGAATCTCGTCATATGGTGGTGCTTTGGTATATTTAGCATCATTTGGGTTGTTTCAAATATTTTGCATTTATAAGTAAAGCTACTGTTAACATCCTTGTAACTAAGTCAGCTCTTTTTCATGAACATTTCTTCAAGATAAATTCCTAGAAGAATTTCGAGGTCAACAGATATGCAAGATTTCAGGACTTTGTCCCTGTGCTGGGATTGGCTTTCCTTCTAACAGCACCCTGTGTTCCCTTTAAATGTCTGGCTGGGGTCATTGTCACTGTGGTCTGCATGTGGCCTGGGTCCCTGCAAGTGTACCGGGGAACACTTGGAACAGGACTGGCCTCACTCACACCTGCCGAATGAACGAGGCATCAGGCTATGGGGTAATGTGCTTCTCAGGTTTCCAGGCCAGCTACGCTTACGTGTACGGTGCAGATTAGGAGAGGCTAGACAGTACTGGTAAATTCCCCTAAGCTTAAAACAGTGCTGGGTGTGTGGTTAGACTGAAGCAGAAGCAGCTTTGGAATAGGCTTTAAAGCATTCTCTGGGAGCTCATAAGAATGAAAATGGAGATCAAGAGAAAATCAACTAGATCTTTGTGCAAGATTAATTTTATCACACAAGGCAGAGGATGAAAGTTAAGGATGTGTGAAAGCAGGTCTGTCTCAGCTGCAGAGCAGGCTGCTCTGTCCATGTCTACAGATGGTAGACAGGGGATGCTAAAGGGCAGGACAGTGAACAATAGGGCCTTTCTCTTAACGTTAGGAAATGCTCCCTGGAAACACGACCAGAGCATGCAGATATACTCAGATATTTGTAGGAAGCTTAACTTTCCCTTTTTTCTCAGAACATTTTAACTGGAAGTCTCTAGGAATTTTTGTTGTTGTTGGACGGAGTTTCACTTTTGTTGCCCAGGCTGGAGTGCAATGGCATGATCTCGGCCCACTGTAGCCTCTGCCTCCTGGGTTCAAGCCATTCTCCTGCCTCAGCCTCCCCAGTAGCTGGGACCACAGGTGCACGCCACTGCACTTGGCTAATTTTGTTTTTGTTTTTGAGACAGAGTTATGCTCTGTCACCCAGGTTGGAGTGCAGTGGCATGATCTTGGCTCACTGCACACTCCACCTCCTGGGTTCAAGGGATGCTTCTGCCTCAGCTTCCTGAGTAGCTGGGACTACAAGCATGTGCCACTATGCCCAGCTAATTTTTGTATTTTTTAGTAAAGATGGAGTTTCTCCATTTTGGTCAGGCTGGTCTCAAACTCCCCACCTCAGGTGATCTACCCACCTGTGGCAGCTCCATAGGCTCAGGTCTCTCTGCCTTTGCACTGGCACTTCCGGTTCATGGCATTATCTAGCATATTAGATGATGCTCATAGATGCATGTCTTATTTTCCAGAAGGGGTTTTTCCTTCAGTGTAAGTAGACCAGTTGTGTGCCCAGGTCCCGGCCTGCAACTCTCTCTCTCTCCTTAATCTGTGGGTATTAGTATAGTCTTCTCTAGGTGGTTTTTTGTTTTGTTTTTCTCTTCCTAAAGATAAAGCTGTGTTTTGTTCTCAGAAGGAGGAGCTTGATGGTTTCTCATGCTCTGTGCTGGGCAGGGACTTAGGTCCATTGTAAGACAGCAAGTGGCTGCTCGTATCATAGGCAGTGTGTGTTGGGAATGGGAGCACCTTCTGAGATTAACATTTAGTGGTCAAGAGGAAAGGGAATGATGGGGAAATGCAGAATTTAGAAAGCCTCATAGCAACAAATACAAACCATCAGGAAACCACTGAATATTTTAGTGAGGAAGGAGCTAGATATCAGAGTTATCTGTAGACAGTCCAGGAATGTTTTCTGAAAAGAGGAATTTTGAGAAAGATGCCAAAGGATGTGAAGGTCCCATCCTGGCCCAATAGATGGGAAGGGTGATCTTCGATGGGAGAGTCTCTCTGTGAGTAGCAGTGGGCAGCTCTCATCTGTAGAACTGCAGAAAGAGCTGTACAAAGGTGATCTGTAGAATAATAATCCTGTGAGGTAGGTTCTCGTATCCACATTTTATAGACAAGTAAACTGAGGTCGAAAGGTTAAGCAGTCACATAGTTAGCAAATGGCAGAGAAGGGATTTGTACCCAGGTAATCTTCCTTCCCTATGCTTTGTTATCTCCAAAAAAGGGTGCCTTTGTCAGTTCTTGAGCTACAGAAGTGAAAACCTTGCTAGACTGAGTTACAGAGCCAACGAAAGCCATCTGCTCCAGCTTCCAGGGCTACATGGGGGCAGCTGAACCATATTGAATGGGTTCCTCCGTGTGCGTCCTGGCAGGCTACAGCCACATGACAGCCTCTGCTCCAAATCTAGCACCAACTACGCAGAGAGCGATACGTGTTGAGCTGTAGCTTTAATATCCTGGGCCAAAGCACTCACGCCCATTTGTGATCACCTTTGAATAGATGGAACGAAGTTTTTCAACTATGCTGCCAGATGAATGGCCGCAAAGGAGATTACTGTTTAATCTCCAAGTTTCCACACAGATACACCATCCAGCAGAGACTGTACTGGTGCATCTAGGTGGAAGGTATTGACATACAAGCTGTACTTTTTCTGGACGACTGTAGAAGGGGGAGCCAGAAGGATTGGAGAGAGCCAGCAACAAGGCCTTGTACCTTATAGATTTCTTCCGAGAGGTTGCAAGGTGACACAGGGTTTATTCTGTCCCAAATTTTTAGCATTTATACCAAGATGTTGAAATGCGTTTCTTGGAACAGTGGTTCATAGACTTGAGTGAGCATTCGAATCTTGTAGGGGGCTTGTTGGAAGGCTGAGGCGGGCGGATCACCTGAGGTTAGGAGTTCAAGACCAGCCTGGCTAATGTGGTGAAATCCCATCTCTATTAAAATATAAAAATTAGCCAGGCATGATGGCAGGTGCCTGTAAGCCCAGCTACTCAAGAGGCTGAGACAGGAGAATCACTTAAACCTTGGAGACAGTGGTTGCAGTGAGCCAATATCGTGCCACTGCACTCCAGCCTGGGCAGCTTAGTAAGACTTCATCCATGCACCCCCACAAAAAATACAGATGCTTGGTTTCCTACCCAGGATATTCTGAGTCAGGAGGTCTTGGCTGGGGCTCAGACATCTACATTTTTGAAGCACCCTCATCTTGCTGATGTTACTCAATTTAGAGAAGCACTGGCTTAGGAAGGTGGGGACCGTCGGGGTGCCTTGTCTTCTGTCTCTAGCAGAACATCTCTTTGAATTGCTGTTGGAGTTGGATCAACCTGGCAAGGTGGTTGAAAGCAGAGGCTCTGCAGTCAGACTGAGTTGTTTTAATGTCGTCTCTATCACCGACCACTCCGAGACCTGGAGCACATTACCTTCCTTTTCTGAGCCTCTGTTTTCTCATCTGTAAAATCTATCAACAATAATAGCTTCCTTGGAGGGTAATTGCCATGATTAAGTGAGCTGGTTTATGTAAAATACTTGACGCTGGGCCTAGACCATAGTAAGCACCTAATAAATGT